TCCAAAGGACCTGCCCCCCATCCCTCCTGCCCCTCCCCACCTGGGCTCACCCAGGCTGTGGGGCTGCTGGCACTTCAGCACTGCAACTGCGCTGAGGGGGGACGGGCTCTGCAGGGCCGCCTGGAGGAGGAGCCTCAGCCCACTGCCCACCGCTCCTCCTGCCCCATCCCCTCAGCCCAGGAGGTGTTTTTGCCTGTGGGTTGGTCTGGGAGGTGCAGTTGCCCGGAATCCACAGTCCCGGAAAGTTCTTTTCTGCTGAAATAGTTTTCCCGTCTCAGGAGGCCTTGGAAGCCGAAGTGTGTCCTCAGGCAGGAGAGGAGCCTTGGCCAGATTTGAAGGGGGGGGGGGGTGGTGGTGGGGGGAAGGGTCCCGCCCTGGGTGAGCCCCCCCCTGCTCTACACACACACACACACACCCACACACACCCACACACACCCCACCCCCACTCTCTACCCCGGCTGGGTTTCCACATTCTGGCAGCACGATTTAAGCCTCCAGGACTTTGTAACACAAGTTATGTTGAAAAGAGGGAGGCTCTACCAGTGGTTCTCAACCTTCCTAATGCCGAGACCCTTTAATACAGTTCCTCATGTTGTGGTGACCCCCAATTTCATTGTTACAAATTGAACATAATTAAAGCATAGCGATTAGTCACAAAAACAATATGTAATTATCTATGTGTTTTCTGATGGTCTTAGGCCACCCCTGTGAAAGGGTCGTTCGACCCCCAAAGGGGTCGAAACCCACAGGTTGAGAACCGCTGCTCTAGCCTAGGGAAACTTAAGGGGAAGGAACTGTAGCTTTATGATCGCATCCGCTTTAATAAATCACACGTGAGGGAGCAGGCGCTGCAGCGAGGCCCCGCACGCGCGGGAGGCAGAGCCCGCCGGGGCCCCTCAGCTGCGGAGGTTGCTGATCCACTGGGGCTCGGGGAGCCCAGGCGGAGGCCAGCCTCCCGCTGTGCTGGGGCTCATGGATCCAGCCGTAATGAGAGTCTTCTTTTCCCAGGAAACGCTGTCCGGTGCTAGCACGTAAGTCCTGAGTAAGCGGTGAGGACGCTGTGCGCGTCTGCTGTCCCTTACACGGCGCTTGGCCTCCTTCCCTTCTCAGCGTCAGGTGACAGTGAGCCTTGCGAACAGGCTAGGAGGAGCCTTCCGTTACTTATTGACCATCACAGCTTTTTGGCGCACATCGGATGTGCAAACCAATGTCAACGATCCGTGAGCAAAAGGTAGGGGCCCCCCCACCTGTTCACCTGTCCCTGCTCCAACCCACTTCGGGGGGGGGAGCAGAACAGACACCGACTTCCCACGGAACTGAGCAGCTCAAGGCTGTGGAACTTGGCCTCCATTTGATGGCTCTGGTCCGAATGTCACATGACCAGAGAGGCACTGACACCGCATCCCACGGGTCCCCTGGTTCAGAGCCCTCCCCGACAGGAGCCAGC